AATAACTGTGCCGCATACCAGTATATATGCATCTAATATTCTATTTTAAGAAAATTTTATCTCAAGCCACGATTTTACCCTGTCACAACGTACGTACTGTTAGCCATAGAGAACTCCTCAAAGTTCCAGACTTAAACGGACATACGTATGTGGCATAGTCCAAATTATGCGCATATTATACAGCATCATTATTCAAGCCACTCTAATGCAGTGTTCGATCAAACCCTTTGCTAAAACCCTTAACTGTACAGCCCATTTTATTTTTAATTTTGTATTACTTTTCTTACCTATTTATGTCTTTTATACATAGCATACTCATTACAATATATAGATATTTAGACAAACATGGAACGTACCGTGTGATAAAGTCGTTTGATACTACAAAAATGAATTGGGCTCATTACTAAGTGGGAAGTGGAAATAACTGCTTTTTCCGATACTGTACGTGATTACTGGTTTTAGTTGAAACGCCTTGAGTCAACTGGTCAAGCCAAGAAATACCAAAGTAGTAGAAAGGAAGGATTAGTGGCGGAATGCAAAATGTGTGTAAAATTAACAAATAGAAGAAAACCCGATAGTTAGATAATTTAAATTATTTATATGTATCGAAAACATATTTAAAGGCTTATTTCTCGCCTCAATAGAATAAAATGCAAATACCTGAGTCTTCATACACAAGCCAAAAGTTACTTAGGCCATTAAGAAACTTAATGATCATGCTCACGTGATAGTTGTGAAGAGATTTCAAAATCAACTGTTTAAGTCATTGTTAGTTTATCTTAGTCAACTAACTGTATCTTCATATACATTACTTTTTTAAAAACTAAATCACATATTAAAGCCTCTTGTAGGGGCTTGTAATTTTTCAGCTGTTAAGGTTAAAAGCCAAGCATTTATTTATCATCAACATGCAGTTGCACCAAACTGATTTAGAAGTTGTTTGAGCGTAATATTTTGGTAGTGACTGTGGGATGGTTATTTGAATTACTTTATTGCGAATGCTTTCAATTCGCTATTGTCCAGATTACGTTAATGCCAGACTTAGTTTGGAGGAGTACCTTGATATGGTGCACGGTTCAGATAATTGAGATTTTATTAGAAACAATCTAAGTTATAATCTTGCTAGGAGTGAAGGAAAGAATTATCGTGATATGTTTGTCAAACATGTTTTAAACAGTTTGATAAACCTTTTTATTATGAATGTTGTGATAGTAATAAAACTCCTGAAACCTGGTAGAATGTATTTTTTCACTTTTACAGTATCTCAATCTAAACCTTCAAAAAGAAAATATTTTTATCAAACATTTTGAATCTGTTATCAAGTTTGTTTTTGATAATTTTGATGAATGTGAATCCTTATCCGTATTAGAAGCTTAGTCAAGGATTCCAAAGAACACATCAGCCGGTTATGTTTCTTTAAAATATTTCAGTGAGAAAAGAAAAAAGGTGATTGTGAAAAAGAAGTTTTGAGCAATACCATTTAAATTTATGTAACATCCGAAATAGAAGACCAGTACGTGACTATGTCACATTTGCAATGAGAGGACATCTTTCCTCAAGTTTAAAGAGAAAACCTGTCCAGAATGGCTCATCTCTGCCTCAATGGTACGTTTTGAGTCGCGCTTTTACTCACCTTTCTATGACCAGATATATAAAAAAGATTTTTTCAAAAATATCTGGATCAATGGTCCTGATAGCATATCTAGGTTAAATAATTGGTTTTTATAATACTGATATCTCCGGATGGGATTCATACAGAAGTAATTGGGCACATACTCATGTGTTAAAAGAAGATGCATATGGTTATTATAATAGATTAGAATTTAATTATTGTATTGATAGTGCAGTCCGGTCTACAGCACACTTTCCTGATGGTTCCGTTTATAAAAAGAAATCGGAATTATTTCCGGTACCATGGGTACTCTTTTAGTCAACTCATTATTGAATACTATCAGATGTTTCACTATCATGAGCATGATGAAAGAGATTGACTTGGAGTTATTTTTTCATGGAGGTGCAGTAGGATTAAACTGGTTAGGTGATTGCTTTTATTTTAAATACACTTAAAAAATTTTCAACTAGATAAATTTTCGGAAATGTATCATAAGTGGAAAATAGATAGGAAATATTTAGGATACCAGTTAAAAGGAGGATTATTATATCGTTCAGATCTTGACTTATCTAAATAAAATACAAACATCACAAAGCTGTTTTTATGTAGAGTTATGTAAATAATTTATGTTTATTACGTGTATCGGACAATTGTTTAAATCTTTCGAATGATTAAACTCTTTCTGATAGAAATCCAAGTAATTGATTTATTCATAAACTTTAACAAAGAATTTTTAATAAAAATAAAATCTTCAGCGAATTTACATTAAAAATATAAACCGACAATTCAGCCGCCCTAACGAATTTGGCTTCGTATAACCATAAGGTTCAAATGTGAAAGAGACATGCTAGATTTGGTGGATGGTGAAATATGGTTCCGGAAGCAAACCATCATCAAGCATAACAATCCATATTATTTTGGAGTTACCAGAGCAATATTGATATGGTACAATTTATAATAATCGCAATAATCTTTACTAATTTAGGACTAACGGCGGAGTTTTGTGTTGAAATTTGTTAATAGTCTTAGAATAAGGTTTTATTTACTTTTTATTGGCAAATTTTATTAACTACTTTGACGATAACACTGTAATATCTATTAATGGTGCTGAAGGACTTTATTTATAGGCAATAAAATCTATTACTTTACATCTCAATTATAATTATAATCCTTATGACTATTATATTCACTTTAATCATCATATTAATCAACAATCTTATACTCCCAATATATCGTATGGAAATTTTCTAGGAAATAGGGTTCTGAGGTCTCTCCAATCAAAAATACGATTTTAATTGTATATTAATCTTCTATCAAGAATTTTATAAAATTTATATGGTATAAATTTTGTGCTATATTATCTTAGTGTAAAAGTGGATTATTTAATTCCAGATTTTTTGGAATATAAAAACTAAAAATATTACTACGTGCACAAATTTTGTGTTTAAATTTAATGATCTCAAAATCAGGTGATTAGTCTCGGAGAGTCATTTCCTAGAAAAACTCCCATATATGCCATTTCGGCAATATAAGTGATATAAGCATGGATAGGTTCCTATCACATTGTATGGACATTTTGTTTAGACTAGTGGAGCGGAAGAATTGCCGTAACTTTTGCCGTAATTTGTCATAATATAATAAGGTTGCGGCAAAAATGCCATAGCTCATTATAATTATTACATAGTTATGTCAAGGTACGGCAAAAGTTACGGCATCATGGGACGATTCGCCTGCATCACTAGTTTATACCATGTTCACATAACTGTATAATTGGTTACACCCAGACATTCATATATAACAAAGAATAATACTATTTAAGGAGTTGTATGATTTTAAAATTGGTAGTATGTCGATTGGGACCATCGATTATGGGGTTGGGATGAGATAA